ATCGAGAATTCTATTCATCTATTTACTGATGCAAGCCAACCTGATACTATATAAGATAACCTTAAGTTTCACGACAACTATGTATAACGTCTAAATCTGTAATACCTGGATATCAACAGAAGAAGTGACACTAGGAGCCCAATCCGACCAATCAGACATGCGACGCTCTTCTGGTTCAGCCTCTTTCACAAGTGGGATTTTATACTTGAACACCTCATCCTCATTCAATCCTTTTTCTACTGAATCAACCTAGCAAACAAATAAAGTATTCAAGCACTCATATTTAGGTTCCATAAATGGATTATAGTAAGAAAATTGAAGATGTCTTATTAGAATAAAGAAACAGCACTTTTAAGTAATGTTTTACCAAAAATTGATGCTTGCGTTGTTCACACAGCTTACAACCATAGTCCACTGTCTTGTCGACTATGGTGCTGCTTGGTAACGCAACTTCAGGCTGATCCTTGAAATGATTCACTTGCTCACACAGAGTGTCCAGTTTCTGTTGCATGCTTAAGAGCACCTGGTCCTAAAAACAATTTTTAAAGAAAATTTGAAAAATAATTACTAGATTAATTTAAACAGGTAACGGTTAAATATGACAAACAAATACATAAATTCTTTTGTAAGTTGAAAATCAGCACAAATCAAGAAAATAAATTCATTTGCCACGGCAGGCCGGCAGGGTACAACTTTTAAAGCAAAATATACAACATTGTGAATTCGCCTATTCATTAATTAAACAATAAATAATCACACAAAAGATGGCATAAATGAATATTTATACACACATTAATTTTGACAGCATGGTACAACTTTTATAACAAAAGGTCCACATCAGCATTCCATGAATTCAATAGACACAATTAGATACACAAACGAAAAATCAAACACGAATGCTTATTTACTTACAGTTGCATTAATTTTGACAATATAAACTAATTAATTATAAGAAAAACAACAATGAACAAATAACGAACCCTGAGTTCAACAGATTTTTTCAGCTTTGAAATCTGTTTATTTTTCTTCGAATTCGCGGCTGCAACCGCAACAACAGCCACAAGCAGAACCCTTTGAATGGGGCTAAACAGCTCCCAAGCCACAGCTTCTTTAGGACCCAATACACCATTTTTATCAACGGTCTTAGCCGAGGTGGCTTCCTCGGCTCCAACAAGCCGACCCTGGAGGGACACCCAAGCAAGCTGCTTTCTGGCTTTAACGGGCACATTCGGCTGCATAAAACAGCTGGAAAGCCGGCGTGGAGAGGGGGAAACTGAGTAGGAAAATGGGGTTAAAGATACTAAAGCGGGAGGTAAACCAGATCCAAAGGCTGGTTCCGGTTCGTCTAAATCCATGTCTTGGAGTTGGAGGAGCGTGATTGAAGCTACCAATATTAATATTGATTTATGAATATTTTTGGGAAATCTTCATTTGGGATTTTTTCCTTTGCAGGATTTTAGGGTTTTGCTTTGAAAATGATATTCAAATTTATATTTGAGAGGGAAGTGAATACTGAATACAATTCAAAGACACCTGGATATGGATTATGAAGCAACGAAGCCCATAGCCGTTGGCATTTTCTCTCTTTTGAATTTAAACTTTTTTTTGGAATTTTGCTAGTTTTTATTTATCTTTTATTTTTTGCATTTTGCTGGATGGTGAAGAAAATTATTGTACAATTTGTAATTCAAAATAGAGATAATTTCTTCACACGTGTGGAATTAAAACTCAAAATTTTTTTTAAGAAAAATAAGCAATTTCTACATCTCCACCGGAGTGAATATTCTTATTCCATGTTTAGGGTGTGTTTGAGCCACATTATTTTGGAAAAATGTATTCTGAATAGTAGATTGATGGAAAATGTGTGGTTGAAAAAGAAGGAAAAGTTATTGATGTGCTGAAAAATATTATTTTAATGAAGAATGTGTAGTTGAAAATGAGTAGAAGAATGAGAATGAAAATTTTAATGGGTACCAAACAGGGGCTTAGTTTAACTAAAAATTAAAAAAAATTAAGTCAAAGTTGTACAGGGCGTGTTTGGACACACTAAGTATCATAATTCGGACCGTTGGTAATCAAAAATTGGACCATTGTGGCATTTTTTAATTGACAAAATCCGACAACTTTGTAGTAGATAATCAACCCATTTACACCCCCTTTCCCACCCCTTTGTAGTAGACTTTGCACATGTAATGAGGATAAAATGGTCTTTTTCGTTTCAAATTTTCTACAACATTTGAAATGGTTCTAGAAAGTGGGACCGTATGATTTGACCTTAAAATTGATTTTGGTTTGAGAGAATCTCTCTCAGACACAGTCATAATTATTTACATGCATTTTGAATAATGTTATTTGTACATAAGTGAATACATAATGGTTTACATACATATGTGGTGTAAAAAAAGAAAGAAAATAATTATTGTTTTTATTGGATTAAAGAAATTCTGACTGAATCATATCTCACCATATCGTGTATATGTATACCATTATATACATGTAGTATAATCACACATTTCGAATTATGCTACTTGTATATAAGAACTTACATAATGATTTACACACAAATGAGGTGTTAAAAAAGGGTGAGAGTTTTTTTTTTTTTTTTATTGGGTTGAACTTATGATCCAATCACATCCCACGACATCATAATTTGTTGGCAACTCTTCATCTTCCTCTTTGAGCTCATGATTCACCACTTCATTAACGTAACTCGATTCTCTGCTTAAATCTTCTTCTTTCACCTAATCGAAATATTCACAATCATTAGTACATGTGAAGAACGATCGCCCTTTGTTATCAGTATCCTGTTCGAATTCAAAATATTTTCGATATCCGTGTTTACACCAAGTGCATCAGCA